AGAGCAGAGCAGAGCGAGATGTAACCCTTGCCCGGGAAACCTTCCCTTGGCAAAGCAGAGTTGTTACACTCCACTCCCTGCTCTCTGCTCTCCAGGAGCAGAGCTGAACGGTAGCAACTTCGCCCGAGAAACCTCCTGCAGAGCAAAACTGCTACACTAGGCGAACATCTCCAGCTGGAAGAGCCTCTCCTGCTGGAGCAGAGCAGATACACTGGAAAGCCTTTCCCTGAGGCAGGGCTGTAAGCTGCTATGGTTACTACAACCAGTGGTAGTCCTTGGCTCCTGAGCTCCAGGATACCTTTCCATCACTTGGCTCCTAAGCTCCAGGATACCTTTCCACCTGAGCTGTGTAACACTCAGTATTCTGTGACTCCTGAGTGCCAGAATACCTGACCCACTCCTGTTCCATCCTGTCCCAACCCATCCTGAAATGCTTACACCTAACCTTTTAAATCACCCCTCTATGGGGGCTGACCCACCTTCTGGGGCCTAACTCAGTATCCTAAACTTGGTACCCCTATCCAAATACACCCTCCTACCTTACTTGCTGGCCAGCATTCAGTTGTTCTTTTCCGATCTCGGTGGGACGTCCATCTATAGCGAGCAGCCGGTGTGTTCACAGCTACAGTGCTACCATACTTCACAACGAGGCTAAAGGCTAGGGATGAAAATGAAGACAAAGACAGCGAGTGGCTCACTCTTACAAGGAGAATAGCATTTGTTTTTACAAGGGTAGAAGAGCCTTATATGCCAAAGTCAGGTATGGTGGGAAAACACCAAGGTCAGAAGCCTGTGTTCCCAGGGCCCTCCCGCAAAGGGGTGGGCCAAAACCAGGAATTAGCATTTAGACGATAAACAGGAACTTGCATGCAGGCCTTACTGGGAGAAGGGGATGAGAAGTGTTTTGCTAAAAGCCCCTAGTAACAAGCAGTCAACAGACCCCCACCGGGGAAGGGTGCAACAACACTTGACTCTGTTTTTGGTTTTTGTGTGTTTAGAATCTTGTTAAGCTTTGTCAGGTTTTGGGTTTGTTTGTTTGTTTGTTTTCGACACAGGGTTTCTCTGTGTAGCTTTGGAGCCTGTCCTGGCACTCGCTTTGTAGGCTGGCCTCGAACTCACAGAGATCTGCCTGTATCTGCCTCCGAGTGCTGGGATTAAATGTGTGTGCCACCAACACCCTGCACTTTGTCAGGTCTTATGTGGAAATTCTGTCCTCACTGTAGAACGTCATTTGTAGGCAGACTTTTTTTTTTTCCTGCCCAAAACTGACATGGAGACTCAATATTAATTAGAAATGCTTGACTGATAGCTCAGACTCATTGCTAACTAGCTCTTACAACTTATATTAACCCATTTCTGTTATTCTACATTCTGCCACATGGCATTACCTCTCTGTTGTTTTTCTCTTTTAATTGCTGTTGCCTTTTAAGCTACTACTAGCCTATGCAGTAACTGCCACTCTGCCTACCCAGAGCTGAAGCCTGAGGGAATTTTTTTTCCTCAGGCACCAACTCTTTTAAAGCTACTAAGAAAACTTATTTAAATTTCTGTCCCACTAAAGAACTCAAAACTCAAAGGTTGAGGTAGAATCCTGCTTCCCAGAGAGGCTGAATAGCAAGCAGCTCACCCAGGTCACCTCCTAAAACCTTCCCAGCAGTCCTCATGCTTATTCTCACCCTCCTTATAAATCCTTTTCCACCTGGCTCCTCCCTACAACTTCCTGTCAGCTAGGTGCTGACCCAGTCTCCTGACTGCAGGTGAATTTTATTTAATCAAACACATCTTTGCATCATTAAACAAATGTTCCAGAGCATAAACAAAAGCCATACCCCGTAAAATAATATTCTACAACACCTCTCTTTCATTTTGCACTTCCTGTGTCCTCTTCGTGTCTCGCTGGTGACTCCCTTGATTCTGCCCTTCTCCTTCTAATGAAAGACCCTGGCCCAGCCTAACAGGCAGCTGAGGCTTATGGAAAATTCCGTTTCCCCACAGCTGCGTAGTCATTGCCTATCAGAAGGGAGCTCAGCCCAAGGTCCCCACAGCTGCGTAGTCATTGCCTATCAGAAGGGAGCTCAGCCCAAGGACACTCAGCAAGGTTGAGCAAACACAGAGACCTATTGTTCCTCAGACAGGGCCAAGACTTGAGTTCCAAGAAAAACCTCAATTACCTCAATTGCCTGCACTCTAAGCCCTAGCCTCATTTGAATTGCCCAATCAGGGTCCTGTTACTAGGCTTCTCGCTTCTGTACTGCGCTTTTTGCTATAAAAGAACCCCTGAGTCCCCAGCTCGGCGCACTCAGTTCCCCGAGACTGGGACGCCCGGGTACCCGTATGTCACCAATAAAGCCTCTTGCTGTTGCATCCAAGTTCGTGGTCTCGCTGTTCCTTGGGTACGGGTCTCACTTCCGTGAAAGTATCCCTATTGGGGTCTTTCACTAAATTTCCTTATTCTGGTTTTCCCACCTAACCTCATCCTGTCCAGCTATTGGCCAGCCAGCTTCTTTATTAAACTAATCACAGTATAACTTACACAATGAACAGAAAGATTATTCACAGCAGCCTACTATATGTAATGTCCTTGCTGGGGATGCAGATAACCTGCCTATGCTTGTAGTCATATTGTCAATGGCAAGTTCATCATTTAACCCCAGGATTGTCTAGCTCTAAAAGCCCTTAGCATCTAAATGCATAGTCCTTTTTTTTTTTTTTTTTTTCTGTGACAGGGTTTCTCTGTGTAGCCTTGGCTGTCCTGGGACTTCCTGTATAGACCAGGCTGTCCTCAAACTCACAGAAATCCTCCTACCTCTGCCTCCCAAGTGTTGGGATTAAAAGCATGTGCCACCACTGTGTGGCCTAAAAGTATAGTCTTAATGGCATCTCCAGAGCCATGTTGTACTTGAGGAGCTGCATAGGAACACAGTGACAGGTAAGCAGAGACAAGGCGGTTAGAGGTCTGTGGGTGTGCTGAAGTGTCCACATGCCACATTGCATGTGTTGAAGTCAGAGAAAGACTCGTGGAGTCGGATTTCTACTAACACCCATGTGGGTCCCAGGGATTGAATTTAGATTGGCAGCATTGGCAGCTGAACCATCTCTCTGGCACTCTGCCTTGTTTTTTTAAAGATGGTCTGTCTTAGTTAGCCATGGAGGGAAGCTGCTTATTGGCTTGCTTCCTATGGCTTGTTCAGCCCACCTTCTTTTACAGCCCACCATGGGCTGGGCTCTCCCCCATTGATCACCAAATACCTTACAGCTAGATCTCAAGGAGGCATCTCCTCAGCTGAGACTCCTTCCTTTGATAACTCTAGCTTGTGTCAAGTTGACCCACAAAACCAGCCAGTACAGGGTGTCTCACTGAGCACTGAACTCACTAGTTGACCTCAATAAACTTAGTCAGCCCCAGGAACCTCTGGTATCAGCCTCCCCAGCACTGGAATTAGAGGTGTGTTCCGCCGTACTCAGCTTGCTAGTTCTGTTCTAGGCGTCCATATCAGCCCCCATGCTTGCATGGCAAACACTTTACCGATTGATCAGTCTTCCTTGGCCCCCTTTTATGGAGACAGGGTCTTATGTAACTCAGACTAGCCTCAAACTCATTGTGTAGTTTAGGGTGGTCTTGAACTACTCATTCTCCTGCCTCTGCCACATAGCTACTTAGGTTATAGACTACCATTCCAGGTGAGATTGACAGTTTAAAAAGTTCCCAGAGGAGCTAGAGAGATGGCTCAGTGGTTAAGAACATTCATTGCTCTTCCAGAAGACCTAAGTTTGGTTCCCAGCACTCAGGTAGGGTTGCTTACACCAGCAAAAATCACTTTCTTCTGGCCTCCATGGACACAAACATGCACACACACGGGCTTTCAAAAAGTTCCCCAGGTGATGCTGATATTGCTGATCCGGGAATCACAAATCTAGTTCATCAAAAATCCTCTTTGTTGGGTAGAAAGATAGCTTAGCAGAGTGTAGCTGCTCTTAGAGGACTTAGATTTTGTTCCTGGCACCCATATGGTGGCTCACAGCCACCTGGAGCTCCAGTCCCAGGGGAAGGGATGTGTGACCTTCCTCAGTCTTGCGGATGCCATGCATGCAAGTGGGGCACAGACACACATGCAGGCAAAACACTCATGCACTTAGAACTAAAAATAAATAAAACGCCAAACCCTTTGTATGTGGGAGTTGTGTGACACCTGTAATCCCAGGTAGAAAGAGGAGGCTGAGGAGCCCAAGGTCAACCTTGCCTACATAGCAAGCTCAAAGCCTGCCTAGGTTACATGAGGCCCTGTCTCAAAACATTACTCTGTGTGTTAGCTTAAAATAATGAAAAATGCCACTGAGTTCATGCCTATAATTCCACTATGCCAGAGGCTGAGGTGGGAGAATAACCATAAACTAGAGGCCATTTGAGGATACAAAATTACTTCTAGGTTAGCCTGGGCTAGAGTGAGACTCTGCCTCAAAACATAAAATTAAACAAAATAAATAATGGTAATTATTAATTGAAAATAACTATTGTTGGGTCATGTATGGTAGCACACACCTTTAATCCCAGCATTTGGGAGACAGAGGCAGTCAGATCTCTGAGTTCGAGGCCAGCCTGGGTTATAAAGTGAGTTCCAGGTCACCTAGGGCTACAAAGGGAAACCTTGCCTTGAAAAACCATACCAAAAACAAACACAAAACCCAAAAAACCAACAACAACAAAAACTGTCACAGGGTACTGTTTTTGTTCTAATCTATCACATCATATTTTATTCAAACTCTTGCCCAGCTTTTCCAGCTATATTCTTTCTTCAAACACATCCAAACAATGTTTCATGGGGGATATAGTTCAAATAATAATTATTGAGAGAATGAAAACCTTATGTTCATTTCTCTATGCATTTTCCTTTTGCATCTCATTTGGCTGTTGCTATAATGGCTCTTTATTGCCTCATAAAGGCCTCTGCATTGAAGGCCTGTGGCAGTATTGGGAGGTGCTGGACTTTTAGATGGTGGGGCTTAATGAAGGGGATAAAGCATTGGGCGTACACCCTTCCCAGCTCTTCCTAGCCACCATCAGTCCTCCGTGACATGCACCTGTAGTGCCACAGGCCCAAGGCAACAGAACAAGAAGCGTAGACTGAAACCTCTGGAACCGTGAGCAGAAATAAGCTTTTCTCCCTTGATTATCTCAGCCATTAGCATTCAAAAGCTGACTTACATATAGAAGCTGGAAAAAATAGTATCTACTGGGGGAGGAGGTGCGTGATGGAGCTCCACCAGTGCCAAATACAGACTCGTCCACAGCTCAGCAGGATCATCCTTGAAGACCACAGCACTCATGGCCTCCTGGGTAGCCGCTTCTCCCACGTAAGGGCAGAATGAGTGTGACCGCGGTCTGCAGGGCCTGAGCTTGGGTCTTGGGTCTTCGTACTGCGTGTCAGAGGGAGGGAGCACCCTGACCAGTGTGCTGTCTGGGATCAAGTACCCTGCATGGCCACACCTGGGAGTCTGCAGCAAAGCCAGGTCAGGGGTTTGGAGCGAGACAAGCTGGCAGCAGGTGCCTGTTGCTGGTCATCCCCTCACATCATCCGGAGTTCCCAGACTCCTCCCTTCCAAACATTTCAGAAGAACATCAGCACCCCTGCTTTCCTTGAGCCTTGAATTGGGCATCGTGCTACGGCTGCTGAGGCTCAGTGGGAAACATTTGTGTTCACGTAAGGTGTCTCCTTCCTCTCTTTTACTTCTGTTCGGGGCTGATTTTGAACCATTCCATGCTCCTTAAAGATCTTATTTCCAAGGATTCATTTTGTGAATAGATGAGGTTCTCTCACTGTGTTTTTCACATGTTAGTCTCTCTCTCTCTGTCTATGTCTCTCCCTCCGTCCCTCCCTCCGTCCCTCCCTCCCTCCCTCCCTCCCTCTCTCTCTCTCTCTCTCTCTCTCTCTCTCTCTCTCTCTCTCTCTCTCTCTCTCTCTCTCTCTCTCTCTCCCTCTCTCTCTCTCTCTGCTGCTGCTGCTGCTGCACCTTGCTTCATACTGAGCTGCATACAGGGTCTATCAGCTCCTAGGTGTACACTTAGCATTTGTGAACAGAACAAATGGACAAGCCCAAGGCTGCTCAGAGCCTTCCCACCTCTCTTTTATTGTCCTTAACGTTTTATTTTATGTATGTGGGCGCTTGGTCTGTATATATGTCATGCACCATGTGTGTCCCTGATGCCCACACAGACTACAAGAGGGCATCAGAATTACGGACCGTTGTAAGCCACCATGTGAGTACTAGGAGTGGGATCTCCGTCCACCGGAAGAGCAGCTAATACTGCAGAACCGTCTCCAGCCCACAACGTTCCCAGTTCTTGTTTGGTACTCTTGATTCTCTGTGTGTTCTGAGGCAAACCCCTAAATTATGTGTACATCAGTTTCCCCTACTGTTAAATGGGCATATTAATAGCCCACATGGGGCTAACAGTTGCATGATATGTGGCTATGGTCAGCACTTTTAGATGCTTCTTGCCATTATTCTTGTCCTTTCAGAAACAGGTGTGCCTGGAGTTAGAAGATACTAACTAGCTGTGCTATCCCCTCCCACCCTCATCCTGTAAAATGGGAGCTGCCACGGTCCCACCTAACAGGGCTGACTACAAGGATTAAGTGAGGGGACCTGAAAAGTACTAAGCTTCGAACATAAAGGTGCTTTTTAAAGTGCTCAGGCCTCGGACAAGCATGGTGGAAAACACCTGTAATTCCGGGGCCGCCGAAGTTGAAGTAGGAAGATTAGCCATCCTCTAAATACATAATGAGCTTGAAGCCAGCCTGGGCTACATAACAGCTTGGTTCAAACAAAACAAAAACCCTAAATAAACAAGTAATTAATCGTGTGGTCCTCAAGTGAACAGGATAAAACTTTGGAGGTGCTGGCCCACAAGAGAACTTTCTGGGAGCGACCCAGCCACTCCCGACTGCAGCTAAGTGTGCCTTCCTTGTGACCACCAGGGGACGCTGGCGCACTGCTGAGAACTCCAGAGCCTCCAGGAAAGTCGAGTTGCAAGAACCAAGCTTGTGCAGAATCCTCCGGGATTTTATTTTATTTTCCTGTCTTTCTTCCCTCCTATAAATGATCCTGGAATCTCACCTGCCCTCATGAGATGGGCGGCCCTCAGCAGCTTCCATCCTCCGTCCTATGCCAGAGTGGAAAAGACCCAGCACCGGGAAATAAAGAGTGTCCAAATCATCACCCCTGGTAAGAAAAAAACAAAACAAAACAACAACAAAACAGAACAACAACAAAAAACAAAACAAAACAAAAAACCCCGGAGTCACACTCCACAGGTCCTTAGCACTTGCGCTCTCTACAGTAGGAATATTCTTCCCCCAAAAGAAATGGTTTCCTCTCTCACCTTCAAGTCTTTGTTCAAATACCAGCTTTCCAGCAAAGTCCTCCTCTCCTGTGTTTCCTCCATCACCAATTCGTCCCCCTAGAAATTATCAAGCATGGTGGCATTCACCTTTAATCACGGCACTTAGGAGGCATAGACAGGTGAATCTCTGTGAGTTCAAGGCCAGCTAAGGTAACAGTCCCAGTCTCAAAACAGGAAAAAAAAATTTGTCACCTTCTTACATGTGATTTTTACTGTATTTTCCACCTGTCTCCTCTGGTATTCCGAAGTCTGTAAGAATGGGGATTTTTCCTCTCCAACACATCAAGTAAAACTTGCCACGTGGCAAAGGGACACCATGACCACGGTAACTCTTGTGAAGGAAAGAATTTAATTGGGGTGGCTCGCTTACAGTTTCAGAGGTTCTGCCCATTATGGCAGGGAGCACCATGGAGGGCGGGCAGATGTGGCGCTGGAGCTGAGATCGCAGCATCTCACGGGATAGGAAGTCAACTGAAAGTCATACTGAGGGAAGCTTGAACAAGAGAGACCTCCACACAGCTGCCTCTTGCCATGGCAGCTGCCTTTCCCCCAAATGGTGAGTTAGAGAGAGGCAGAACGCCCAAGAGAAAAATCACCATCTTCTCTTTGCCTAGTTACAAATGTGACAAACCCGTTTGTGGCAGACTGAGAGAAGTTAATAACTTGCCTAAAGTCTTGTAGCTGATACTGGCAGAGTCAGTTCTGCCTGATACTTAGAATAAGTTCCACAGTCCTTGAACATTTTTTATTGCATAATTTTTTGGGGAAGGGCATGTGTGGTGGTCAGAGAACAACTTTCAGGAGTCGGTTCTCTCTTTCCATCATGTGGGTTCTGGGGATGCAATTCTAATTTTCTGGCTTGGTGACAGGCATGTTACCGGCCGAGCCATTGCACAGGCCCCAAAAATCCTTTTTAAAATGGCTGTGAAGGCCCAGCTTCCCTCCATAATTTTAAACACATCAAACATACTCTCACCTCAGCACTTTTTATTTATTTAAATTAGAAACAACCTTGCTTCACATGCCAATCCCAGCTCCCTCTCCTTCCCCTCCTCCCCCCGCACCCCCACCAGGCTCCCCAACCCCCACCCAATCCCCACTCCAATCCCCAGGGAGGGTGAGGCCCTCCATGGGGGATCTCCAGAGTGTATCATTTCTTTCAGGGCAGGGCCTAGGCCCTCCCCAAAGAGTCCAGGCTGAGAGAGCATCTCTCATTGTGGGATGGGCACCCAAAGTCCATTTGTATGCCAGGAATAAATACTGATCTACTACCCAAGGCCCCATAGATTACCTAGGCCTCCTCACTGACACCCACATTCAGGGGGTCTGGATCAGTCCCATGCTGTCCACCCAGCCATCAGTCTGGGGTCCAAGAGCTCCCCCCTTGTTCAGGTCAGCTGTTTCTGTGGGTTAAACCAACCCAGTCTTGACCCCTATGCTTATCAGTCCTCCCTCTCTGCAACTGGATTCCAGGAGTTAGTTCAGTGTTTAGCTGTGGGTGTCTGCCTCTGCTTCCATCAGTCACTGGATGAAGGTTCTGTTTCCCAGACTCACTGGCCCTGGGGTTGTAAGCTGGCACTCCCCTGCTCTATGTCTAAAATCCATATGTGAGAGAGTACATACCATGTTTCTCTTTTTGTGACTGGGTTACCTCACTCAGGATGGTTTCTTCTAGTGCTGTGCATTTGCCTGAGGATTTCAAGAATCCATTGGTTTTTTTCTGCTGACATTTTCTCTATCCACTCTTCAGTAGAGGGGCATCTAGGTTGCTTCCAAGTTCTGGCTATTACAAATAATGCTGCTATGAACATAGGAGAACAGATGTCCTTGTTGTACGAATGTCTTTAGCACTTTTTTAAACAGTCTCCCTGTGTAGCCCAGGCTTTCCCAGAACTCAGGGCAATCCTCTTGCTGCAGCCTCTCACAGATGGGGACTATATCCGAGAGCCACCAAGCCCAGCTCCTCCCAGTGCCTTTGCTCTTGCTGTCTCCACCTCATCCTCGGGTCCCCGCTCAAAGGCAAGCCAGGTCCTGCCTGACCACCACAAGCACAGTGACTTCCTGTCTGTTCACCCCATTTAAGTTTGCCAAATTACCTGCCGTCTAACGTCTGTTCCCACCACTCCCACCCCTGGTGAGGATGGAGCACTGTGTGCTGGGGCACGGCTGTATCACAGCGCACACAGTAAGCATTCAGTTCATAGTTACTAGATGAGTGCATGTCTTCGTAAAGAGCTCCAACAGTGACACACGCACTGTTCAACTCACTTCTCTGAGCTAACAAAGATTAAAGGAGATTTAAAAAGAAAATGACACGTCTTAGAGTCATGGGGTAGAGTTTTAAAGAAATGAGTTTCAATTCTCCTACCTAACCGGCTGGGCCCCGGGGGGGGGGGGGTTGAGCTCTGACAACCCTTTGTCTCCACACTCTTCAAGCTGGCAGAGAGTTGAGCAAACCACCAGAGCCACTCTTGGTAATGCCTGATCTCTTCCCAGGCTGGTTCCGCTGGTCCCCACACCTCCTCACAGGCGAAACCTTAGCCAGAAACCGCAGCTCTCCAAAAGACTAAGGTCACCGTTATTTATCCAGGGTGCGACAGTCAGGGAGAGCCCATCTTGAGACTGGTATGAAAGATTGCATTATGTCAGTTCAAAGTTCACTGTCTCTGGCCTCAAAGTCACTGTGTAGCCCAGGGCAGCCTCAGCCTCCCGGTGCTGGGACCACAGGTGCGTACCACCACGCCTGTCTCATGCATTTCTTTGTGGCCCTCTCTCCCTTTACAATCCTCGGTCGCGTTTATCGGTATCTTTGAGTTTTTACATGATTGTGTAAAATGGGTGGTGTTGCTTCATATTACTGTGATTTTACTTGAAATTTTAATATGTATTTATTTCATACTAGTGCATTTCCACACCACAGAGGTGCGGAGGTCAGAGGACAACCTGAGAGAGTAGGGCTGTCTCCCACCATGTGGATCCTAGAGCTTGAACTCAGGTTGTTAGGCCTGGGCCAAGCACCTTTACACCCTAGGCCAGCTTACCAGTCATGGTTATTTTTAATGGAGGCATCTTGTGTTATTAGTCAGCTGATTAGGGATCTTTGCTCTTCTCAGGCAGAAATCATGGTTAGAGAGAGGTGTGGGAACACCAGACCTTGAGCAGAGACCCACTTCCCCTTCTGCCTGGGAGTAGGCAGCTGTAGACAATGTTTAGTAAAAACATGTTTACTAAAAACGATACAATAAGTTCCTGGAAAAGGCCTTCCCACGGAAACCGCCCTGACCTCGACCTTGTCCAAAGACTAACCGCACCTTCAAAAACCCACACACATCCACCTCTGGGGTCAGAGCAGAACCAGCCAGGGGAGAGGAGAGAGCAGAAGCTTCTCTGGTGGGAGCTTTTCTTAGGAGGTTTTCTTGAACCTTTTTGGAGCCTGTTTAAAGTTTTCTTTATATCGTTGAACGAGTCTCTGTGTTGTCAATCCCCGACACCCTCCGCACGTTCTCGGACACAGGCCGCAGCAGACGTGACAGAGAGGTAGCTGTTCTAATGTTGGTAGGCCTGGACCCTTGAGTGCCAAAGGCTTGTGGGCTGCGCTGACTGACTCAGAACCTTATAGCTTTAATCCTGAAAACTAAAGGGTTATGGCTTGAGGCTCTGGGGTCCAGAGAACTATGGCTGTAGGTGCTCAGGTCAGAGGCTTATCACTCTGGGTTTTGGCCATAGCTCAGCTCTCAGTAGTCGCCAGTGTAATCTCTGACGCAGCAGCAGTCACCTGGTGTTGGAGCTCCCAAACCTCAGCTGTACGTGTCTACATCTTTTTTATTTTACACACATTTGTGTTTTACCTGCATGTATGTGTGTGTGAAGGTGTCAGTTCCTCTGGAACTGGAGTTACAGACAGTTGTGATCTGCCATGTGGTGCTGGGAATGAACCCAGGTTCTCTGGAAGAGCAGTCAGTGCTCTTAACCACTGAGCCATCTCTCCAACCTTGTGGCTCTACATCTTATATCTCTTAAGGCTTAGCAGCTTCCTGGAACTCTTCTAGTCACCAGGGTCCCCAGTCCCTCATCTTTGGCCTTTGACACCTTTTTCTGTATTTCCAAGGTCCTTTATCATCTCTCTGTCTCTGCTGCTCCCAGGAATTCTGGATGCTGTCTCACCACTGCTGTTGCTGTCATGGCTGCTCTGCTGTATCTTCTTCATGTTACCAGCTCAGCCTACACAGGACAGAAGTCAACAATAAGCAAAGTTTAGTCTCAGCACTCAGGAGGCAGATGCAAGGGAACCTCTGTGAGTTCAAGGCCAGCCTGGCCTATATCTTCCAGGCTAGGCAGGACTGCATAGTGAGAACCTGTCTTAAAAATAAATGCATGGGCCAGGCGTTGGTGGTGCACACCTTTAATCCCAGCACTTGGGAGGCAGAGGCAGGCGGATCTCTGTGAGTTCGAGGCCAGCCTGGTCTACAGATCAAGTTCCAAGACAGCCTCTAAAACAATACAGAGAAACCCTGTCTCGAAAACCCTCCCCCCAAAAATTCATGATAGATAGATAGATAGATAGATAGATAGATAGATAGATAGATAGATAGGAAAGAAAAGGCCATTTGGGAGAGACCATTTGTCTTAGGATTTCTATTACTGTGAAGAGACACCATTACCACAGCAACTCTTATAAAAGGAAAACATTTAATTGGGGTTAGCCTACAGTTTCAGAGGTTTAGTCCATTATCATGTCAGGTAGCATGCAGACAGACATGCTTCTAGAGAAGGAGTTGAGAGTTCTACACCTTGATCTGTAGGCAACAGGAAGTGAACTGTGACACTGAACATAGTAGACCTCAAAGCCCACCCTGACAACAGTGACACACTTCCTCCAACAAGGCCACACCTCCTAATAGTGCCATTTCCTATGGGGCCTCTTTGTGCAAATGAATTACCATCTGCAACACTCAGTGTCTTTTTGCTGGGCCAGGGTGAAGGTGGGGGGTTGGGGAATGGAGGTAGGTAGGGCTTCTTTCCTCTGATCTGAATGAGACAGGACAGCTGAAAAGAGTAACACAGTTTCAAGTTCACCAAGGGTTATTTTTTTGTTTTAGGGTTTTGTTTGTTTGTCTGTTTGGTTGGTTGGTTGGTTTTTGAAACAGGGTTTCTCTGTGTTAACAGTCCTGACTGTCCTGGAACTTGCTCTGTAGACCAGGCTGGCCTCACACTCACTGCGATCATCCTGCCTCTGCCTCCCGAGTGCTGGGACTAAAGGGATGTGCCACCACCACCTGGCCGCCAAGGCTTATCTTATTATTGATTGATTTTTTTTTTTTTTTTGTAGATAGAGCCTATGTAGCCCAGGATGACTTCAAAATCACAGTAGAGGCTAACTTTGAATTCCTGGGCCTCCTGTGCCCATCTCCTCCTTCGTCCTGGGATTACACAACCATGCACCCCCAACAGTTGCTGTCTCTCATTGAGTGCTACTTTCTTTTTTTTTAATATTTTATTTATTGTGTATACAGTCTTCTGCCTGCAGGCCAGCAGAGGGCATCAGATCTCATTCAAGGTGGTTGTGAGCCACCATGTGGTTGCCGGGAATTGAACTCAGGACCTCTGGAAGAACACTCAGTGCTCTTAACCACTGAGCCATCTCTCCAGCCCGAGTGCTACTTTCTAACCCAGTGTTGTCCAGAACAGTCACAACTGGAGCACGTGTTGTGAAGTGCTCTTGGCCACTGACGATGAGTCCTCAGAGTAATGGTAAAGTCACCAAAGCAACCAGGCTGCCATGTGGGCAGTCCAGACAGGTACCAGCAGAGGAGCTGCTAGAGTAACAGATTCCTGACCAAGGCATGAGGGAAGGGCCTGTCAGATAGCCAGCTCTCAGCAGTTTAGTCATTCCCAGGAGGCATTAAAAGGGCACTGACAATAAACACTCAGCAAAAGCTCAGAACAAACCATTCTCACTGCCTGTAATGCTGTTTGCTAATGCTTAATAATGCTTAGCCATGCTTAACTCTGGACCCAGGTTGAGGCTGTCCCTATCACCATAGGTCAGATTCAGTTTCTTCCTGTGACAGCCATCTTACAAATGTCTCCCAGTGGGTCTCCTCATAGTCACATCTTTGAGTTCCATCTGCAGGAAATGTTTGTTTGCATTCCTACAAAAGGTATACACATCAAAGGGGAAATAAACTGGATGACTTTTTGGAAACAGCCTTTGGGAGGTGGATTAGATTCAGAAGAGGTCATGAGAGTGGGAACATGATAGGATTTGTGCCTTTTTGTTTGTTTTCTATAAGGCCCCAACTACCCAGATAGGTCTAGAACTCCTCCTCTCTATCCCCCGGGTGCTGGGATTACAGGTGTGTACCACCACACCGGGCTGTGAGTTTGCACCTTTGGAAGAGGCAGTCGGGGGCTGAGAAGACAGATCAGCAGGTGAAGAGTTTGCCATGTGAGCATGAGGACCTCAGTTTCATCTGCAGCACCCACACAAAGCCAGGCACAACAGCATACACCTGTAATCCCAGCACGGACCATTCAGGATTCTTAGGGCTTGCTTGCCAGCCTGTTTAACTGAATTGGTAATCTCCAGATTCAAAAAGAGACCCTGTCTCAAAAAAAAATAACATGGAGAGTGATTAAGGGCACCTGACATCACCCTCTGGCCTTCACATACCTGCAGATACACATACATGCACACAAACATAGGGCACAGAAGCACATACAAGAGGGGGGAAAGAAGGAAGAGCAGAGAGGAGACGCCAGGCTCACTGACTTTTACACACCAAGCAAAGGCCAGGGAGCACACAGAGACACTGGCCACACACAGGCTGGGAGGGGAGGCCTCAGAATAAAGCCTGCCTCCCTGGCTCTAAATCTCTCAGCCTCCAGACCAGGGCATTCCTGTTGATGAAGCGCCTGACTGTAGACATCTTGCTGTAACTAAGCAGCTGACTGGGGTCCCTTGCTCCACTCAAATAGAATTATGATTAGAAAGAAATAGCTATCCATGTGTTGGCAGACCTAGGCCCTCGAGTGCCAGGGGTTTGTGGGCTGGGCTGCAGATTGGGAGCATTATAGCTGATCCTGAATGCCTCAATAAAAACAACAAAACCAAAACCTAAAGTTTATTTTAAGCATTGAGTTTGCTATAATTTCCTCTCCTTTCCTTTCCTTCCTTCCTTCCTTCCTTCCTTCCTTCCTTCCTTCCTTCCATTTTATGTGTATGTATATATACCTGAGTATATGTATATGCATGCTTCATTTAATTCTCACAAAACTCCATGAACAGCTACTGTTATGCCCATTCTGCAGGTGAAAATAACAGGGATTCTGAGTCTGTTGAGATGGCTCAATAGGCACGGTGGTTTGAATGAGAAATGTCTTCCATAGCCTCACATATGTGAATACTTGGTTCCAGGTTGATGACGCTGTTTTGGGGAAGCTATGGAATCTTCAGGAAGTCGGGCCTTAATAGAGGAGGTGTACCAGTGAGGGCAGGCTTCAATGGCCTGCCGCCATGACACCCCACCACTTATGGACTCTCACTCTGGAACTGTAAGCCCAAATAAACTCTTCCATAAATCAGTTTTGGTCAGTTTATCAGAGCAACAGGAAAGCACTTAATACCATGGGTAAAGGCACTTGCTGCCAAGTCTGCACACCTGAGTTGGATCCCCAGGACCCAGTGGGAGAAGGAGAGAAGCATTTCTGTGAGTGTTCCAACCTCCACACTCACACTGAGGCACAAGCAGTCACACCCCCTCCCCATCCCCCCACACTTGTGTGCACGTGCACTGGTGCAGAAAAACAAGCAAGGTGAGACGACATGTAACACAGATGACTAGGGATGACCAGCAACAGCACAACTTCTGTTATATTTGTGTGTGCGCGTTTGTGTGCGTGTGCATGCGTGCGTGCGTGCGTGCGTGCGTGCGTGTGTGTGTGTGTGTGAGAGAGAGAGACAGAGACAGAGACAGAGACAGAGAGAGAGAGAGAGAGAGAGAGAGAGAGAGAGAGATCTTATTCCATTTGAGGCTGACTTTGAACTTAACCATCATCCTCCTGAAAGGTGCAATTAGAAGTGTGTGCCTCCATCCTCAGCTGTTGTTGTCTTGGTTTGTTTTGTTTCTCAAGACAGGGCTTCTCTGTATAACAGTCCTGGCTGTCCTGGAACTCACAGAGATCCACCTGCCTCTGTCACGTCTGCTGCGCAGCCTGTGTCCGAGAACGTGTGGAGGGTGTCAGGGATTGACAACACAGAGACTCGTTCAACGATGTAAAAAAAACTTTAAACAGGCTCCAAAAAGGTTCAAGAAAACTTCCTAAGAAAGGCTCCCACCAGAGAAGCTTCTGCTCTCTCCTCTCCCCTGGCTGGTTCTGCTCTGACACCAGAGGTGGATGTGTGTGGGTTTTTGAAGGTGCGGTTAGTCTTTGGACAAGGTCAAGGTCAGGGCGGTTTCCGTGGGAAGGCCTTTCCCAGGAACTTATTGTATCGTTTTTAGTAAACATGTTTTTACTAAACATTGTCTTACAGCTGCCTACTCCCAGGCAGAAGGGGAAGTGGCCAGGAACTTATTGTATCGTTTTTAGTAAACATGTTTTTACCAAACATTGTCTTACAGCTGCCTACTCCCAGGCAGAAGGGGAAGTGGGTCTCTGCTCAAGGTCTGGTGTTCCCACAATTCACCCCTTTTTATTTTCAAATGAGGCACTCCTGGCTTAGGTCAAGTAGGGTCACCCTCCCTTTCCCGTCTTTGGGGGACCTTGAACCCCTGTTTTAGGTGGGAGGGGTCTTCCCCACAGGTTGCCCGTCATCGGAGATACCCCAACCTTAAATCATCTGTAACCAACCTTCATGGCTATCGGGATTGCCATGGGCTAAGCTAAGCAATACTTGGTTACGGATCTCTTGTCTCTGGAACAAGGCACGTTTGAGCTTGGCATAAAGCCAGAATGCCTACCGCCACTGCCACCATTTCCAGGACCCCCATTGACATAGCGCCTCTCCATCACCATACCCATCACCAGATCTGGGCCATAACATTCTACGAGCCTTCATCTGTTACAAGGGTAACCCACATGTGATTTACATTTACAATTTGATAAAGTTTCCAATCGTTTCAAGATCTGCTCAGGAAAGCATTTAGAAAGTGCACTTGCACAGATACATTAGGTACAATCATTGATGTTACACATGTAGCATTACGAAAAATATGAACAATAGTTGTCGCATTAGGACAAGTTGCATTTCTCCAGAAAAATACACTGGCCTAGTCGTGATTCCAGAAATAGGAACCATCAAGTCTGATATTTCAAGTGACCATGTCCTGTTCAAATACTGAAAAGAGGCTTTTGCCACTCATCATAGTCCATACCAATGTCCAAATGCTTTAAATGGGTCCTTTTTTCTCTGTTGGCTTTACGATGAAAACTCATGGGTCCAGAAGGTTGATGCAGCAGGTCTGTTGAGAAATTGGAAATCTCGAACCAACTGTTTTCTCTCTTTCTTGGGCTCTAGATTCGATGACATCAAGAATCAGGAACACTGATTTAGGAGATCTCACTCAAACTGGCTTAGGTAGGCTCCCATGGTCTCAGGTCCAGTTTTTCTCTGCTCCATGCATCTCACTAAATGGTCTGACAGTTGCTGAAGCTCTATTCCTTTCCTGCAAGAAAACACAAACATGCCCTCGACCCCAAATTAGGGTCTTCTCCACTGTCTAGTGTATGGATGTCTCCATTTGATCTGAGCAATGGTTGCTCAAGTTCCATCATGCCAGAATCTGTCTGAAGCTCACTGGCATTCACATTATAAAATTTTTAAATGAGGAGTGTATTATTTGATGAGTCATGTGGGGACTGGGGACATTATTCCCCTTTTTTATTTTCTAAAAAATTTTCTTTTTTGAACTGTTGAAGCTGGACCATAACAGTAGAAGGATTTGTCTACCCTCCTTGGTTAACTATCTAGGTAAATTGGGCTTACTAAATAACTTTTGAAAATTATTTGAAGTCTGTGAGCAGTCTTTCCCAATCTAACCTGTAGAACTCTCACTAGCTGACAAGGCCTCATTTGTATCTTAAATTTTTCTGTTAAAACATTAACAGACTGGCTGGATGTTCCTTTTGGCTATATTTAACACAATCTAGGTAGCTTCTTAACTATTTTTGAAGGGATTTAAGTATCCTTTTAATCATATAATCAGTTCACACTCACGCATTCACAATCACATTTCATACATACCGGTGTGGCCACACCATACATTCAGAACATACATGCATCTTTTAGTCATCCTTTTTCCCTAGGTCATGATTAGTCTGTTGCAATGAAGTTTCCTTAATTGAAATCTATGTAAAAGAACAACTCCAGCCAATCCTTGAACTAAAAAGGTTAAAAAGTCCTATATGTTTTTATCATTCCTCCATTTGAGCTACAGTCATGGGGTACAGCCGTACCTACTCCTTGTAACTCTGTAGATGCAAGGTAGAGAGGCCAGGCTTTTGGCCAAAAGTTTATAGAGATGACTCACAAAATAGAACTTAAATGTAAACAAAAATTTCCATTCCATATACCTTTGTCTTTTTCTTATTCTTTTACTTAATACCAGTACCTCCTTTATTAACCGTTACCAATTTTCGATTCACCCACTTTTAATCCATCCTCCAACTGAGGGTGGTCTCTCAGGTTCCCCTTTCTTTCCTGACCTTGGTGTCAGGCGAAGGCCTGGAGATTTAATCCAATCCACCCTCCAACCTAGGGTGATCTCTCAGGTTCCCCTTTCTTTCCTGACCTTGGTGTCAGGTGAAGGCCTGGAGATTTAATCCAATCCACCCCCCATCTGAGGGCAATCTCTCAGGGTTCCCTTACTTTCCTGACCTTTGTCAGGCGAAGGCCTGGAGATTTAATCCGGTACCCCTAGCTTGGTACCCCTTTTTAACACATCCGCATAGCCTTACTGGCCAGCCTTTTAGATCTCTCAGTTCCCCTTTACTTTCCTGACCTCAGTGGATCAGGCGAAAGACTGGAGATTTTTTATTTTATTTCTTATTTTACCCTTTTTTTTTTCTTTTTCCTTTTTTTTTTTCTTTTCTTTTTTTTTTTTTTTTTTTTGAGACTGGGTTTCTCTCTATCCTTTTGGAGGCTGTCCTGGAACTTGCTCTATAGACCAGGATGGCCTCATTCCTTTCTATCTCTGCCTCCCGAGTGTTGGGATTAAAGGCGTATGCCACCAACACCCAGCTCTCTGAATATCATAGCAAACATCCTCCCAATCTGGGACATTTAAGCCTTCCCCAGTAATGAACCATGGGCTCCCTCGTTTAATCCATTTTAAAAAGCCTGCCATGGTTGTAGTCCCCTGTTCTTCAAGCAACTTTTTTACGTGATACTGTAATTTAAACTTCCAGGGACTATTTCCCATAGTTTTTTTTTCTATTTTTCTCCATTTGTCCCTGGCTGGCAAAAGGGACGACCCCGTCCACTTACCTCGCTTTCATGATCTCGGTGGGACCTCCAATTGTCACGTCTGCTGCGCGGCCTGTGTCCGAGAACGTGTGGAGGGTGTCAGGGATTGACAACACAGAGACTCGTTCAACGATGTAAAAAAAACTTTAAACAGGCTCCAAAAAGGTTCAAGAAAACTTCCTAAGAAAGGCTCCCACCAGAGAAGCTTCTGCTCTCTCCTCTCCCCTGGCTGGTTCTGCTCTGACACCAGAGGTGGATGTGTGTGGGTTTTTGAAGGTGCGGTTAGTCTTTGGACAAGGTCAAGGTCAGGGCGGTTTCCGTGGGAAGGCCTTTCCCAGGAACTTATTGTATCGTTTTTAGTAAACATGTTTTTACTAAACATTGTCTTACAGCTGCCTACTCCCAGGCAGAAGGGGAAGTGGCCAGGAACTTATTGTATCGTTTTTAGTAAACATGTTTTTACCAAACATTGTCTTACAGCTGCCTACTCCCAGGCAGAAGGGGAAGTGGGTCTCTGCTCAAGGTCTGGTGTTCCCACATGCCTCTGCCTCCCAAGTACTGACATTAAAGGTGTGTGCCACCATCGCCCAGCTGTTTTGTTTTTAATTCTTTTATTTCCCAGTTCATCTATCTAGCCCACACAACTCACAAGTTATTGTATGTTCACAGAGCTGCATGGCTCCACCACCAGCAGTTCCAGGACATTCTTACCATCCCTAAAAGAAATGCTGTGTTCCTCAGTCCTCTCAGCCCCAGGCAACTGCCCATCCACCTTCTAGCTCAACAGACTTTCTTATTCTGCACAATTCAATAGTGAAAGCACACAGGGCACAGGACACAGCACACAGGACACAGGACACAGTAGGCTGTTCCTTGGTCTTTCAGTCAGTGTAATTTTCTCAAGGTCCATCCATCCTGCAGCACATACAGACATTATATTTCTTCTGAGATGGGAATGTTATTCCCTTTACAGATATACTACATTTTATTTATGCACGTATCAGTTAATGGTATTTGTGTCCTTCTACTTCTAAATGTACCCTGTTATTAGTCTTTGGCAGTTTTACATGTACGTAACATATCTTGGTCATACCCACTGTTAACGTGTCCTCCTCCCATC